ATGGGAATTATGGTATATTCCGTCTTATGGGTAATGCAGGATTTATCTCATCAACCGTAGGACCCTAAGTTTTCAGTCTTAACCCGAAGTGCTTTCCTTAACCCCCAAAACCGAAAACCCTAAGCCTGAACCCCAAACCCAAAACCCTAAACCCTAAACCCTAAACCCTAAACCCCTAAACCCTAAACTCTAAACCCCACGAGTGCCGGAGGCTCGTCCTTAGAGGCCCGCTGCCTTGCCGCCGAATGTGCAGAGCCGTCTCCCGTGACGCCCAAAGGTTTGTCAACTCAGGTGGGGAGGTGGGTTTGGGGTTTAGGGGGTTGGGGGTTTAGGGTTTAGGGTTTAGGGTTTGGGGTTTAGGGGGTTGGGGGTTTAGGGATTAGGGCGTTTCGGGGTTTTAGCGTTTAGGACCGTTTAGGGCTTTTGGCGCTTAGGTCTCAGAGATTCAAGTTCGACTTTGGCTTTAGGGTTTGGGCATGTAGTTGCAGTTCAGGGTTCAATTGGTTTAGGCCGCTTTGGTGGTTCCGGTGTGTATGGTCGGCACGGGAGTGGACGTTAACCCATTCGGAAGAAGCATTTGGACGTGTCATCTTGGTAACCTGTGTTCTTGTTAACTTACTCTAAGCTATCATAGTAGGGATCTAGAATCTATTAGGGTTCCTCGTTATGGCAGCTTGAATTAAATTCCTTCACCGGAACGCAGCAACAAGAGCTTCAGTATCGACATGCTCAACACCCCTTCTAGGCATCTCGATGCCACTCGGAGACCCCTAAACACTGAATCCTTAACCCTAAACCCCGAAGCCCCTAAATACTGAACCCCAAAACCTCAAACCCTAAAGCGCCCACCTCTAAACCTGAAGCCCTACACCATAAACCCGGACCCTAAGCCCTAAACTACCGAGAAGACCATTTGCATGGACGCACGAAACTTTGTAAGGGTCCAGGTCCTGGTTCATGGAGTGGGGCTGGTAGGGCTGGTGATATAAATCCTACATTACCCAAAATAAGGAACAGACCATAATGCCCAGAGTCTAGGGTCCTTAAACTACTGCAGGGATTATATCATCAACAGTAGGGTTGATGGTTTAGGGTTTAGGGATCAGGGTTCAGGGTTTAGGGTCATGGACTGGGGCTTTGTCGGGTTGAGGGTTTCGGGTTTTGCAGGGTGCCGGTTTGCGTGGCTAAGGGCATGCGGAGGGGTTCAATGTGAGCGTCTGGGCTTCGTGGTGTTAGGGTTTAAACCCTAAAGCTTAAAGCCTAAACCTTAAACCCCTACGTACATTAATACCCCCAAAATAAGACCCCAAAGCCACCAGAAATTCCAACCCTAAAGCCACAACCCGAAACACCCGAACCCCCAAACCCTAAGAAGTTCCCAACCTCCCAAACCTCCAAAACCCTAAACCCCCCAAGAGCCTAAACCCTAAAACCCTAAACCCCAAGCCTCTCAAGACCCCAAACCCTAAAACCCTCAGCCCTAAACCCTAAAGCCCTAAACCCTAAACCCTAAATCTAAAGCCCTAAGCCCTAAACCCTAAAGCCCCAAGCCCTAAACCCTCTGATCCTTGTGCCCTCGTGCTGGCAGTCGGCCATTGCCACGCTGACCCAGAACATCCTCGGCTGCCTGATTCAAGGTTTACCCTAAGGGCTTGGGGTTTAGGGCAAGTACCCTCATAAAGAATAACATTAATCATCATATCTACTCTCCCAAATACCCTAAACCCTAAACCCTAAACCCTAAACCCTAAACCCTAAACCCTAAAGCACTCAAGTACCTGATTTCTATGGGTCCTTAGGCAAAGTCTCAAGCCAAAGGGTTCGGATTTTAGGGTGCCACTTCCCGTTGAAAGCAGAAGCCAGAAGCTTCAAGGAGCCCGAAACCTTTAAGCTTTAAACCCTCCCACAAAAAAACGCCTAAGATTTTTAGGGTTAGGGTTTAGGATTTTGGGGTTTAGGGTTTAGGGTTTAGGGTTCCCACAAAAAAGCCTAAGACGTTTAGGGTTTTTAAGGGTTTAGGGTCCCAGGTACTGTTATGAGGGATACTTTCCCAGGGAGAACCCAGTACCCCTTAACTAAGGAATATACTAAACCCCAAAAAACCCTGAACCTCAACCCTAAAGCCCTAAACCCCAAATCGGCACTGGGTGGGGCCCGTGTGGTCTTCTTCTGCAGGGGTCTGACTCAAAGACATCGGGATGAATCGGACATATCGTGCGGGAAATCGGTGGATAACCGCCTTAGTGACTAGAACAGGATTTGGGGATTAGGTATACTATGCATTCATTTTTGCTGTTGGTAGTTCATGGTCGTGTTAACTGCCATCCTTCGTATCAACTTGTGCGGGCGTTTACACTATCGTCCGGGCCAGGGTGATGATGTTGCTGAGGAGCAAGAACTTGCAGAGTAATCGTCATGATAGGCCGTAGCTGCGATTGCTAGTCAGGCTCCGTGTGAAGGTGTTGCGACAGAGGCTCTTGCATGGCTTTGCTGCGCTTCTGCGCAGCCATCACACCACAGTCTTCCATGGACGGTTACGGTTTAGGGGTTCGAATTCAGAGACGAGGCTCTAGGGTACATGCTCGGATTTCATGCATCCTTTCCATGCCTGAGACAAAGTACTTTCAGAGGCGGGGTCAGATCCCTGCTTAGCCTGTTCGGGTTATCCGTGCCGATTGGGCTCCACTGCACTCTAGACTAGACCCCCAAACAGACCGAACCTCCGAAATTCGGCATTCCCAGAAGTATGCGACTCGTTGGCTTCATGGGCTGTGCGACATGCACGCGCGAACACCTCAGCACCTGCAGGCTCGGTTGTGTTTTCCTAGCTTCTGGCCTGGACGTTTACGATGGTAGCTATTCCTTGTTATATTCCTCCACATCGTCTTCTTTCGCCTCTCATCCGCACCTCTGGTAGCTGATGCTACATCACGTCAGTCGGTTGTGCTTCCGTGGGAACCTTCAAACTCTAAACCCTAAACCCGAAACCTTAAACCCTAAACCCTAAGCCCTAAACCCTAAACCCTAAACCCTGCACCCCAAACCCCAAACCTTAAACCCAAGCTAAGGCTCCGGTGTCCTGGCGCTACCTTTCGCCATGAGCTCCGCGGGGATCGCAGGAGGCTGACTGCTGGCTTCAGGGTTGCTCTACATGTCGCATCCCTAGCCCGGTTTAGGATTTAGGGTTTAGGGTTTAGGGCTACCTGGAGCCCAAATAACTTACCTTTCTAAGGACTTCCACAAGGAAATCAGAATAGGGAGCCCTGAACAAGCTGGGTTTTATTGGGTCCAGGTACAGCCTAAACCCTAAACCCCAAACTTCCCTGGACGTCTGGGAGTTCTGGATACTTTTCAGGTGTCGCGATGCTGCTTCTGGTCTACTCGATGTCTGTGCCCTGGCGAGATTCGAGGCTCCTTTCAGAGGGTTTCCCTCCAACGGCAGAGCAACGCGATAAGACATAAGAGTTGTAAGACGCCACGTTTTCATACTTGGCAACTTGGGCTGCCTCAACCCTAATCCCTACAAAACTAAATTCTAAACCCCCAAACGTTTGAAGTACGAATTATCATGAAAGCAATCTATCAGTTACTTGAAATCATTCTGGTTAGAGAAGCAAAGGGTTTGCACCTTTCAACACCCTTCTAGAGAACCTTCAGACGCACAAGCGCTAAGCTTAAGCCCTACCGCTGTTAGAACAACCTCTAAACCCTAAACCCTAAACCCTAAACCCTAAACCCCAAATCCCGCACCTGCATCTCAGGTGTTTACCATGGGTGTCCTTGTAGCTCTGAGCCAGCTGCTCAGAGGGTTTCAGCACTGCAGATTTGAGGTGTAATATGTGGGTGGAACTTGTTGGTAAACTAGTCCAGGTATGGTACGTGATATACATCACATACCCCTCTTCTACTTGTTAAGGCCCCTATAGTAGTAGGGCTTTTGAGGCTTCATGAGAGATTAGTGTTCAAGACTTTTTTTTTTTTTTGGGGGGGG